TCTCTCTCTCTCTCTCTCTCTCTCTCTCTCTCTCTCTCTCTCGCTCTCCCGCTCTCTCGCTCTCTCTCTCTCTCTATCTCTTCTCTCTTTTTCTTTCAAGCTTTCAAGCATAGCACAATACTGAAGGCGTCAGTTTATATATTACCGGCAACACTTTTATGCTTGAACGCGCAGCAACGTCAACGTCGCCAATAGCCCAGCACTAGCATCGAGATCTATATAGGTGCGACAAAGTTTAACGACAAACGAGGTTCATTATACTCGAGAAAACAAGCCCAATGCACGTCGAAGAAAAATATAACGACATCGATCGCGCATAACGACGTATATCTTGGTATAGCTAGACAACATGCGACTTTGTGGACCGGCGGATGTACGGATGTATGTTTTAAAGTAAACGTGCAACACATCACTATAAATATACACATAATATATACGATACATCAGATTGTACGAAGAGCGTTCGATATCATGTTCTATAGCTCCCAATTTCGTCAACGCGATAGAAACTGTAGTGTATATGGTATTCCCTAATCGCGACAGATACAAAGACGCATGTGCCGGTTAGAAGTGATTAATTAATTTAATTACGCCAAAACGCCGCGAAACGTTGATCAAAGAGAATTATGTAAAATATAGCCAAGATAGTGTGTCACACGCGTAACTCGCTTTAGCGCTTGCGTATTCGCGTAACGCCCGTGTACATACAAGGAAATTAAATTACGTAACGTTACGTTAGATCATTTTATATCACACTTGTCGCGCCCAAAGAGACGCGAATTTCACACTACGACATTTTACATATTATCTAATTATAAGTTATAAGTAGAGAAACGCTAAAATATCATCCGTCAATATAATCTTGTTTCCTTCAATCCTTCAATCATTAGAGTCTCGAAATTAGAGTAAAGCTCTATTAGAGAATATCCAAAGTTATAGGTGAACGATCGGATAGCAGAGGCGATGTAGATGGGTATCGGATGGATCATCTTTATCTCAGCCGATTGCATTGTTAGCATGAAGCGTATTGTTTGAACGTCATATTGGCACGAGGCCTCGGGCAACCAATCAGCGTTTGCGGTAGCCATGCCTTATCAAAGATTTCTACCATCTAGCCGCAGGGCTTAAATCAACCTATCCTCCGACAATCCTTTCTCCAGTTTACGAAACTCTGTCGCGAGGAGAGCAGCAAACTAGTACTAGCAATAAGAGATCAATCCTAATTGCCAGACTTTGAACAAGAAGTCGCACAAATGAGCGCGCCAGATATCGCTGTTGAAAATCTTTCAATACATTGGACAATCAGTTTCAATCAAATCACGTTTGGCGAAACTAGGAAAAATTAGGAATAGCGATTTGCGATAACACGCATAATTATTGTCGCGTTCAAAGACTGTGCGAACTCACGACAATTTATGACAATTTAATTATCCGCGCGCGTGATACATACACGTGTGACATTAATTAATATTCATCGATAATGGAATATTAGACAACACGTCTGTCGTAATATAACCGTGTGTTGCTCATCAAGCAATAATAAGCAACGGTAATTATTCGTTAATTGGATGACACCACGTTTTAATAACCATTTTGCAGTATGGAAACGCGCCGACAAGTCGATGACAGGTCTGTGTGGGAAAATCCTTGGGACATTCATAAAGGATGATTGGAAATATCATTCTAACCATTGTTAGAAAAATGAAAAGAATGAATAACTTAAGCAAAACGAAACTACGATGTATCACAGTACTTTCACATACGTCGTCCATATATCTGCATAGTTGGATTTATACATTCACTGTACGATATCTCTCTCTCTCTCTCTCTCTCTCTCTCTCTCTCTCTCTCTCTCTCTCTCTCTCTCTCTCTCCCTCCCCCTTCCTCTCTCCCTCCCTCCCTGTCTCCCCCCCTCTCTCTCTCTTTCTCTCTCTCTTGGAAGTGACTCGGCGACTTTAACGTAAATCTCTCGCATAAGGTCGTCTTTAATGTCATATCCGCGGTTTCCTCGTCAACGAACATTCGGTAAATTGACGACGTAATTACAGGTCTCTGCTTGCGCGAGCTTACCTGTCTTATGGAATAGCTCGTAACGGCCGATCGAAACCCATATCGTTCTACCAATGAAAATACGTAGGAACACGTACGTAACGAGTTGTGCTAGCGACGTGCTGCTACAGCTGTCGAACATCCGCCGGTGTACGTGTAACTACCCTCCAAACGATGCACAGCATATGTGTGTGTGTGTGTGTGTGTGTGTGTGTGTGTGTGTGTGTGTGTGTGTGTGCGCGTATGCGTCTATGAATGCGCACATAGGGTGGTCGCGCGGGAAGATAAGTACCGAAGGAATGAAAGTAGCGAAGATGAGTTCGAGTTTGGTCCGTGATGCGCGTCTCGTTAATTTTTCGCCCCGTGTCGTTGCATTGTTTGCTTGATAGAAGGGTTTATTGCTAGCGGCTCGAGACAAGAACTATCGTGTTGCCTATATACGTTATTACGCGAATGTACAAGGAAGCGAGCGACTGAGCACGACTCTGTGCCACGTTTTAATGATCTCGATTTAACAAGCGTACATAAGCCGCGTGCGAATCTCACAATAAGAAAAAAATGTACAAAACGACTTCTAAAATGAAATCGGATTAATTAAAGGATTGAAAAGACAGTACAGATTTATGTTATACAGTCGTGTATATTTTATATTAACGTATTATATATTTGTGTGTATAACTTAAGATTTTAATAAAAAAAAAGCCCATCATAATCAAAAAGCCCTATAAATATGTAAGAACTTATGAATAAGATAATTTGCATTATGAAGATAACATGAGACATTGATGAAAATTAAATTAATTTGTTGCAAAATTGTAAGAACTAACATTTTTCATGAATAAGTAAAAAATTACGTTCTTATGTTATAAGTGTAATTTCTTGAAAAATCTAATATAATTTCTTTATATTCTCTACTTATAAACTATTTTTTTTCTTTTGATGATATTTAAAGATGATTCTATTAGAGATGATATCGCGCTACATTCAATCGAAATCGAAATTGATAGCGAGTAATGAAACCTTCTTTCCCAGTAGGCCGGATATTGAAACAGATCGGACTCTATATTTCTGTATTTTCGCTCTCGTCCAAGCGGACGGGAGAGTCGTATGGTAGCGGATCAACGAACAATCATACTTGAATAGGCTCCACGCACACGAGAGGCCAGTATGCGTATCCGCGTGTACAAGCGTGGACGTACGTTGATTCGAAATCATTGTGCCGTACCTTGTCGACAATCGAACCTCGACGAACCTCGAATTTCGTATGCCACTGCACGAATTTCCTCTCGAAACGGATGATTCGCGTGGATGAATCGGACAGAAGGTCGATCCTTCTCATAGAACAAAAATATCATTTCCGACAACATCGACCCGATAAACAAAACCAATGTCTCACCGGCGCAAATTGTTGCGGCGCAACAATCAACGGACACGTTTTAAGGCTTTCACGCGAATCGACAAATTTAATTCTCGAATTTCATTTGTCACACTTGCGACAAATTTTTCTATACTTATATCAAAACGCGCGGTCGGTAATATTATACCTGAAATATAAAACTTTCGTGACACGATCACAGACAATATCTATGAATAATTTTCTATAAAGAGAGGCGCACGCGATAAGGCATCAAGAATATTAAATATGTCTGATCTAGAAATATATTTCTGGGTAACTGTCCTACTTGTATAATATGGATATACGGAAAGAAAATTAGATTAAACAAGATTATCAGTATTTTTATATATATATCGATGTTGACAGCATCAAGATCGACATACAAATGATTCCAAATTTATGTAAGCTACATCTCAATTACTTTTAATATTTTTTATATAATATTAGATATAAAAGTTGCATCTCGGTAAAATAGAGACACACTTATAACCGTTTATATGTATGTCAATTCCTACATGATCATTCATCCGCACATATTTTTCATATTGTTTTTTTCACGATAATATTTATTGAATATTCTTAAAAGCTAGTGCAACGCATTCCAAAATACCACAGATATACATATTTCATTTAGACACTACTACACTCGTAATACAAACAACGCGTTACACGAATCCATCAAACGCGCCATCGCCATAATTCAACCGTATATATTTCGACTATATCTGTGAGTTATTTTATGTTCCGTGTGGCTCGTAATAAAAAAATACAGAAGGGCGCAAAACCAAAAGCAAACGGATAAATTGTAACCGTTATAAAACTGGTCATTTTGTATATATTTTAAAGCGCGGCGAGCATAAATACGTTTGTTCTTCATACGTGTATTCTGGATATTATTGAGCAAACAATAAAACTACGTTTTATATTATACATTATTAATTTAAATATTGTTATCCTCGAATAATTCTTTAGATACAGTCACTTTATTTTTAACGTTAAAATTTGTTAAACAATTTTTCTATAAAATGTTGTCATCAAAATACAGCAATGAAAAATTATTAAGTACTATTCATTTTCATTTTTCGATAAATTTGCTTGATCCACTCGGAAATTAACAAAACTTTTCAAAAACATTAATTTGTTCTGTATAGTAAATTCAATTCTAGATTGCATTCATCGAAATAAGCAGTGTGCGGAATTAAATAAATATAAAAGATTACAGAATTCAATAAATAATGAATTAAATATACATTTGTATCTATTTTCCGCTACACTTGACAATTACGGTGAAATGTGATCAAGTTATGATTGAGTGATGACCAAATTTTAATTCAAAAAGTTTATAAATATAAAAAAAAACTACAATATATTCGTAATTTTATATTCGTAATATAATTTATTTCAACAAATATCTCAATTTGGATATATGTATTATAAGGAATAATGGTACATATTCATGCAGAACTTTTTTCAATAAACGTTTATAAACTTTTTTTGCGGTAAATTTCCAAGTTATCATCGCATCGATGTTTTCACTTTGGATAGAAAGACTCACCATTATTAATCGCAACTAAAGCGACGGCGCCAAGCAACCATGCGATGACGCTGACGGCGGACATCTTCGTTTCCCTCGTCGCGGTTTCCTCCTCACATAATATGCGCCTTCCGTGCGTTAGAAACGAGCTGAAACAAGGAAGACGCATTACGTTAAACCGCGCGTGTGCGCGATGTCACAAGATATTACAAGTTCGGTCGCGCGTTTATCTTACAAAGGCGACGCTTTCGTAAACGCCCGGCTAAGTGCTGTACGCCAGCGCTGCTATTGCCAGAGCACTGGTGAGGAAAGCCGAGGAAACGATTGTGTTAGCGTCGCAATTTGTTACGCGTAATCTCGCACACTCCCGTTATCATGCATCCTATTACTGATAACAGCAGATGCCGCGCGCAACGATAATTACTCGATCAACTACAAAAATATTATGACAATAAATAATCTCGCAACAAACTGCTTTTCAACCTCCGCTTTTCATTTTTCTTCAGTACATCATATAATAGTTCAAAATAAAGCTCTTCATTCCTTGAATTACATAGATCTTTATTGCTCATTATTTAATATTTAGAATATATAATCTTTTCCCTAAACATATCGAAGAATAAAAACAGAATATTCATTTATAGGCGTATCATGGAATTTTTTCGAGAGGGGGGGGGGGAGGAGAGGGTTTCTATCAAGCCAAGGATATACCAAGCGTCAATTGTAATAAGATCCAAAAAAAGAGAGGAATTTTGTTACTATACTGAAAAGAATATACATCAGTGACTATACGTCACTGTACCAATTTTGTTGTTGTGACATTTATTTATTGTACAACAAATATGAACGTTAATGAATTTTATATTTTTACAGCTTTTAATATCTCCTCGTACCTCATTTTGAAGAGGAAAAATATTATGTTTTAGGTGTACAACTTTGCTTCCGCCGTTTTTTTTCCGAAATTCGAGGCTTTATTGTAAAAAACTGGTTATACATTTATGATTCAAAGTATTGTCCATCGCTGGCCACTACTTTCTCCCATCTTTCGGGTAGCGTACGAATCCCGTGTCGAAAAAACTGGTCATCTTTTGAGGCTATCCACGAATCGATCCAATTTTTTACTTCTTCATAAGACCGGAAGTACTGGTCAGCCAGGCCGTGTGCCATTGATCGAAACAAGTGATAGTCAGAGAGAGCAACGTCTGGAGAATACGGCGGGTGGGGTAGGACTTCCCATTTCAACGTTTCCAAGTATGTCTTGACCACTTTCGCAACATGGGGTCGAGCATTGTCATGCTGCAAAATCACTTTATCGTGTCTCTCGTTGTATTGTGGCCGTTTGTCTTTCAATGCTCGGCTCAAACGCATCAATTGCGTTCGATACCGATCGCCTGTGATTGTTTCAGTCCGTTTTAACAGTTCATAATACGCCGAGCTGGTCTCACCAAATACAGAGCATGACCTTGGACGTCAAAATCACCGTTCTTGAAGCGTTGAAACCACTCACGACACGTTCTTTCACTAATAGCGGCCTCACCATAAGTATTTGAGAGCATTCGATGAACTTCAGCCGCAGATTTCTTCATATTGAAGCAAAAAATTAAAACCTCCCGCAAATGACGAGAATTTGGCTCGTAAACTGACATTTTCAATCGAGAATAACTTTATGATGCAGACACAAATCGACTAATGTTTCTATGGGGTTATGTTGACAGATGCCCAAGTTTATTGTATAATCTATTTATTTCGACCACCACTTACTGCTAAAGCCATCTATAGGAAAACGGCGGAAGCAAAGCTGTACACCTAATACATCATGTTTTACTTATTTCTTTAAAGACATTTTTTTTAAAGAAGGACAATACAGTTACTACAAGCAAAATATTTAATTCATTAATATTGTTATTGTATGCTTAAACTAATAGAAGTATTAAAAATTACTTATATCGTCTTATAACAAGAAGAAAAAAATATTTTATGTAACAGCAAAAAACTTAAAATCAAAAATAAAGTTGTATGTTTTTTATTGTACATTAAAACAATTAAAAGAAATTTCGATAGAGTACTAGTCGCTTGGCCAATTTAAAATAAAATATTCCCATTAGTAAAGTAGTAAAAAATTGTTAAGCACCTTCCCTCCCCCCAGACCGATATGAGTGGATGTATGCAATCAAAATCCTAACGGGATCCTGTCAAAATAAAATAATTAGTAAAAAATTTCGAGAGAAGGAGAGTTTGAACCAACCCAAACTCCTCCCCCTTAGATACGCCCATATTCATTTATTATTTGCTGCACCGCACTGGCTAGAATTATTGACTTTTATCTATCGTATAAATCTTTTTCACAAGAAAACTTATTTCGGGAGAAAAATAACTAAAAATAATATGAGTTTATAATTAACAATTCAAGAATTTTTATTCGCAAACCCATCGCAGGTTGGAAAATTGCAGCAACATTTCTACCGATTTATTTATACCGATAACAACATTATCACTCTAATATCATTTATGTGTTATTCATAACAAATATTCACAGAACCAAAGATCGAATACAGTTCTGTAATAAATAGAGTATATTATAATTCACATTGTGTATTACACACTAATTTGTACTAATAAATCAAATAGAATTCCCATACATTTTCATATATATAAAAATAAAATTTTTGACAACATAGAATCAATCTTCTTCGAATGAAATTCGAACTGCTTTCTTCTAATTTTCTCTAAAATACGCATTGAATTGCAATAGCACTTTAGATTTATTTAGTTTTTCTCATTTCTTCAAACGTAAGTTTACTATTACTGTTTTTTTCATTGAAAATTTTGCTGAAGAAAAATTTACATGATTGTCTATATAAATTCAGAATAAAGTATTATTTTTACATTTATAAAAAAATACATTCTAAATGGCTTCAAAATATGAAGGAAAAGTATAGAAAATCTTTAAAAACGTCTTGTATAGTCGCATACAATCTACTGGAAATTTTATTCGTGAATTTCCTGGAACATGCGGATGATTTTCTCGAGCGTCCGCGCTCTCTGCTCCGCGAGATGGTCCCGGGAAGCTGCTCATTCGTCACGTCGAGATAGCGTCGTCCTCGGACGGATCCGCGGAAGGCGCGACGTCCTCCTATCCTTATAACGGGTATAACCGTTAGCGAAATAGCTCGCCATGCCTCCCTCGAGTCGCTTTCAACCATGACATACTCCATTTATACAAATCACGCGCTGTATCTTCATGTCAAAACGTAATCGCCCCGCTTTCTTCCTCCTGTTTATTTTCGTAAATATTTCATGTAATCTACTGAAAATGCTGCAAGTGAAACTCGAGCTAGCTTCATCAGGAGAACTTGTTATTTACAGTACAACAAATTAAAGTATCAGAAAATTTGCAAATATATCATTTAATTAATTCAGAGTAAATTGATTTTCAACAGAAACTGAATTTTTGATATTTTCTTATTTTGCAAAAAACAATACTTATATTGATTATAAAGAGCATCCTGACGAAGTTTTTTTATCTTACGAAACAATAACTATGACTACATTAAGAAATTAACTGGTTGTCAAATCATTTCCGACTAATTTCCGTTCTCTGTGAAACATTCATCTGGTCGCTACATTCCATGTAACACTTTCCATTATGAGTACTATTTTTGTATTTTTGTATAGTAATTAATTTACTGCGTATTATTATATTATCTGAAGATGATCCAATCTAAGAATCAAAACATGTAATAATTTATGTATTTATTCGAATTTTAGTAATGTAATATATATTTCATGTATTAAAATAATTTTTTTACACTCAAAATTGTTTAATCGACTCTTATATATGCCCTTTATATAAATATTGTATTGTTTTTTAAAATTAAGAGTCCTGGTTTTATATAATTCTTATTTTGTTCTTTATTTTTAATTCTTATAATTAAACAGATATTTAGATGTTCACAGATTGTAAAGATTAAATTAAATGTTTTAAACCTTAAATTATACCACTTGTAATTTTTAGAACAAGCAAAATAACGAAAACAATGACGAAATTTTGATGTTAAAAAAGACTATCTGTATCTTTTATCTACCGCTTGAACGGATACAATCCTGAGCGCCAAATAAATGATCCTTCTTTCTTTCTTTTTCTTTCTTTCTTTTTATACTCAAGGAGAAAGCGAAATAGGTAACTCTTGCTCTATCCGTACCGACTGCTCGCTGCTCTCGCAGCATCCACATGGACTAGGCAACCCTTCAGACGCACGTTTCCCACTGGTTCTCGGCTCCTTTCATCCCAGTCCGCTTTTACTTTATGCACTGGTTGTGCGCACACGGACTTTATATCGTCATACACTGTGTGCTTCGAAAACCTGAAATTCCGCTTTGCTACGGTTTCGTAAGAAACGCCACAAGCCATACGTTTCGCGCAGAATTTCGACGTATCTCCGCGCCGTGTGCATAACTAATATATGAATAATACAAAATGAATTTTTCGCAGCAGCTCCAGTTCGTAATAAAGTTACGATATCACATCACACGTTTCACATATTTTATTTTTACAATGCTACGATATGAGATGGTATACTATATTCTTTATGCAATGAGAACATAAAACATATAGGTAATTGTATAGATTTAATTTTGTATTAATATCGGAAAATGTTGCCAAGAAAATGGTTGTCATAAAATGCATTAATCAATATATGTATTTTAAAAAGTTATTATCGAACAGTTTACTATTTTTCTTCTCTCATAATGTATTCATGTTCTATAATAAATATTCTCTTTATTCAGAGAGAAAGAGAGAGAAAGAGTGCAAGATTTTCATGATAATATAAAAACAGAATAGACATTATTGATAAAAGAACAGTATGCCGTATACTTCAACAAATTTCAGCAAAGAACAAGGAATTATCAACATTCTTGATTAAGCTACGATCAGCTACACAACAACGAACAGAGGCAACTGTTGCTTCATTTGAGCACAGACAAAACGCGCGCGCTTTCATATAAAATATGAAATTGCATCCGGTGCATTTTTCAAGATAAAAGACTGAATGCACTTTCGCGAATGTATGCGATGCACCTGTACGACCGAAGTAGCAAATCGGAAAGCACACCGTGGAGCTTTCGTTTATATACAGTCATATGATAAGATCTTTTTATTTATATCATCTGCAATGTCCGCGCTGCAGAAAGCGTACTCCCTGAGCTCAAGATAAAGATAATAGCATTTTAAAGAAAATTTCCAACGTATAAGAAAATTCACAAGAAAGAAGAGGTAGAGAACATTAATTACAATGTGAATGAAATTATATATTTTCAGAATTAAATAAAATTTTAGAGAGGAATTAAAAATCATTGATTCAAAGAAATAAAAAAAGGCAAAAACATCCTTCTGTAAAACACAATTTTTCGCATCAGTAATAAATGGTATCTCAGCATGCTCTTTAATGAACAATTAATTGTAAAGTATACAAAATATATATTATTTAAATCACTGAATGGAATAGCGATATAGGTTATGAAGATAAATATCCTTTTCATGTATATTATCTTTCGTGCGAAAGATAATTAATTTTAAATTCCAGCCAACTGATCATTTCCAACGAGATAATCTCTCAAAAACGTAAGCCAGCCATAGCGATCGTTGCCATAGCGCCGTATGATACACAATGGCATCGAATAACAAGATTATTACGTATTAGATGCACGTAACTTTGCGAATTTCATCGCGATAAAAATTTCATCTTCATAATTTAAAACAAAAAAATTAAATTAGCCCCATCCCTATTCTTTTTTTCCAAATCAACCAACAACCTTACGTTCGATGTAACTAGCCGATCTACCAGCCGATCAAAAAAAAAGTGTAAACAACGATTGTGATATTCGCAGTTAGTGCAAGTAAGCATTGCAGAAGCGTTATTTTTCAAGCGCTTTTCGGAGCGAGACAGCTCGTATCTCGTCGGGACGATCCGGCTTTGCGTTCGCTTTCGTGAGACCCATCAGACAGGCCCTTTAACATTTATTTACACAGCTCAAACACATTTTTCACTCTCCACATAGCTTGTGGCATGTGGACGCGCGAGAAACATTATTGGCCACCACGTAACTGGCATCCACCACGACCATTAACATCATTCCTGCTATGAGCAATAACGACAGCGGAATCGCTATCATTTGGCTGCACGAGATGTCGATCGATCATTCGTGAACACTGATGAGACCGAACGAAGGCACAGGATACAGATCTTGCGACACAGCGAGTAATAATTCAATGTAAATGCGCGTAAGTGCTATTAATAAAACCTGAAGGGAAAGAAAGGGAAGGGAAGGGAAGACAAGTATGATCGAGAGTATATCGTAAATGTATGATTAAATAACATAACGCGTATACGAGATACGAATGTATTAGGCGAAAGCGTATTTTGCGGGGATTATCTGATGTACGTTGATGGACTAGAGTGTGTAAAGACCAACGGAGTAAAATATATGCGATCGTAACGGAAAGATCTGGCCGCACAGAAGAACAGTCGTTTCGCGAAAAGCGTACATTGCATGAAAGTAGAAATGCTCGTTATGTGCGTTTCAATTCGAATCGTTCCCGAGTAATGTAATGCAGTGATGTAATTTCGGGGCTCGCCGCTAAAACGAAATGGCTGGATGTTTATTCATGCAAAGCCAACATACTCCGAAACAACTCACCACATCTCCGTGCTACATAAATGAGGTACTCGGATACATCCGGATACCTCGTTGCTTGCTATCTTATGAGCGTCTGCGGATGCTTATAAAATGGAGATAATTAACGCAGCGTCTAGAGATAACAGGCACACCAATTTGCGGTTATCTCTGCCCTTTTGTCTTAGGTGTTGCTCCGCACCTTTCTAGGCGCCAAAAACGCGTTAAGATAATGCTACGTGATATGAAGATTCACACAACTTCTCACATAACTTCACAAAATGCAAAACGCCATTTCTCCAAACATTCAACAATGTAAACTTATGCAATAAATGTTGCTAGAAATTATTAATCAGAAAAACTGATTATTTTTCAAGAACGATTGAAACGTACACCAAGCATTTTTTTAAATTTCTATACATTTTATGTATAATGAAATTCGCAAGGAATATAATATTTTCGCGGTTATTGTTAATTGCACCGTATTCGTATATTTCTCATTTATTTCAAATTACATTTTTACGATTCAAATCCGTACATGTTTCAACAGAAACTAATTTTGCATTTTTTGTAAGAG